TCTGCTGATCCCGGTGCCGGGAGGCATATACCTTTTACTATATAGGATAGAGGCCTGGTGCACGGGTGAGGGCTGGCTGGTTTGCCCTGAAGGGTGTCCTGGATCAGGGTGGGGGTCCCCACTGGGGTGCCTGGCCAGGCTGGCTGAGGGGCTGAGGGCTGTTTTCCCGCTGGCAGTTGACTAAAAGCTCCCAACCGCTCCTTGTTTTCTTTTTTTTTTTTTTTTATTCTGGGCCAGCTTTAGCTCTGAGGCCTCGCTGCTGAAAACATGGATACAATGTTGTGGTCCGGGGCTGACTGACAGCCGGTTTTGTTTAGCTTCTTATTTGCAACATAGTAATAGTTGCTTCGAGTTGCAGTTGAGAGGCGGGCAAGTGAGGCAGGGAACGTTGGAGTCTGCAGTTCCTGGAGGAAGCAAGCCTCTCTGCTCGCTTCAGTGCATGGCTGCCGGCTGCCATCTTGGCTGACAGTTAATTTGCATAAGGATACGCTGATTAGCCAATGGGAAGGGTAGCGGTCGTACGCCAATTACCATGTTTCTCTTTTATTAGAGTAGATTATAAGTTCTACATTGATTTGATTACAGCTTTTTGTTTCCCATCAAAGCATTAATACTATGTAAAATCATCACATTGTTTACAGGTATTAAAATAGAGGATATACAGTGAGTGATAACTAAGATTACTTCTATCTCTAATACATGATCTATAAGTTTTGCTAAATAGATGCAAGTGATGCCATAACCACTACTTTTGCACATACACTAAAGTGCACTGTTCTGTACAGTTTGACTTCTGGCTTAATTTCAATTGCCCATTCAGGTCTTTCCTTGATTTTGTAAAGCAAATTTGATTCTGTTTTTCTTTAGGGAAGAACTTGAAATAATTTTAATATATATGGCATAAGGAATATTAAATTGCTCTTGGGAAATGTTACTATAAAATGTTGAAGTCTTTGAAACGTATCTGATTGATATATCAAACTTGGATGGAGACAGAAACTGGATGCAGAATCTTAATTTGAACTATACTTAACTGAATTTACTTGTGGTGATTTTCCCATTTAGGATTTTAATTAGGATTGCTGCTCTGAGGGTAGGCAGGGGGTTGATGGCCAGTCAAGAGCATTTTGGAAGCCTCACTGAACAAGGTACAGTGCTCTATGCTTTATACAGAGTTACAGAGACCACCGATAATGCTTAGTTATTCAAACCACCTAGTCTCCTAAGGCAACTGTTCAATCATTCTCTTCTCCTACACTGCCTGCACCCCTACAAGGTTATTGGGTACTACACATCCTATTGATTCCACTTCAGAAGCATCCCTTAAATATTTTCTTTTTTTATCTTAACATTTGTTATTGATTTCAGAGAGGAAGGGAGAGAGAGAGAAGTAGAAACATCAATGATGAGAGAGAACCATTGATCGGGTGCTTCCTGCATTCCCACACTGGGGATCAAGCTTAAAACCCAGGCATGTGCCCTGACTGGGAATCAAACTGTGACCTTCTGGTTCATAGGTCTATGCTCAAC